CCTCGGTGGATCGAAACGAGGCTCCATTTTAGTTTTAATCACAAAAAAACACAATGTTTTATTTTTAACTTGGCAAATATTATATTTAGTGTCCACAATCTGAAGCAGAGATTTCTGTTATCGTTTCGCCATGAAGAGCCTCCTTTTTTATGTTGTAATGGCGGCTTCCTCAAGTTGCTTCTTTTCAGGAACATGTGAACAAAGTATTTTCACACTCCCCTCCCTCGGTGGCAGTCTTGACTTCACCCCTCCCATCGCTCTGTGGGAAGAGCAAAGAGCTGTCCCCAACACTTTGTGTCAAGGCCTGCAGCAGCACGCTCAGCCAGAGACATACAGACGTCCTCGATGTGAGGAGAGAGAGGATGGGAGAGGTCGAGAAACTCTGTGTGACACCCAGGAGGAGGAGGAGGAGGAGGAAGAAAAGGCGAGGCCGCATCAGACGACTTGCCGAGCTGCATCCAAGTGTCAGGGTCCCCAAAATAGCGGCGAGCCGACAACCAGACTGAAGACACCAAACAAACAACAGCTCTCAGATCAAGTAAACATCGGCTAACACACGAGACGCGACAAACTGTGAAGCCTCCCTCTGTCTTCCGGTCGCGTTAATCAGAGCCACGGAGAAAGCAATCGGAGGGGACACCCGTCCCATTAGAGGAGGCTGCAGACGTCTCTTTCTCCCCCTCCTCCCCCTTACTCTGACCGGGGTCCTCGCAAACACTTTGCCCTCTCGAAAAACAACGTTGACAAGCTCCCTCTGTGCGGTGCTGTGCGGACACAGAGGACAGAGTCTCGTCTCCAGCAGATGTCTTGTGGCGTCGACTATAAATAAAGCCAATGAGACCAGCCGGCCGCTGACGAGCACAAGCCGCCGCGAGGCCGTGTTAGCTTTGCAAAGGGCCTGTCTAGTCTTGGCACGGTGGGCGGGCTAACATTTGGCGGGGCCCGCCATCGAAAGAAAAGCCTGTGAGCTTTGTGTTTAGGGTTTGAGAGGGAAAAATAAAGACCCGAGTCCCCTGGATTTGAGGTTTTTTCCACGTAGAGGCAGGTGGGAGAGGGAAATGTATCCTCCATGCAGTAACATATACTCAATTTAGCCAGCTTTTAGCGTCAACATCTAGTGCATTTTACCGTTTAATGTGCCATTAAATGCGGCGTAACAGTCAGAAAGGAGCGCACCAGTTTCATTGATGACCCTGACACTCCCAAAGGACGTTGGCGGCCCGGGGGGCCTGTCTGCCTCTATTTAAAACCACTCTCACAGCGCCTTGTTTCGGAAGGAGAGACTCCCACTTGTCGAGACAGTGTAGGCGCCCTCAATTAAGACATAATGCAGTGCCGTTTTACTGCAAATTTCACTGTAGGACGCAACCCCGCAGTCGGCTGCTTCATGAAGGAAAAATATCGTCCGTAACATGGAACACTTGCGGCGTCTCCGTGTTAGAGTGTTAGAAACCATTCAGAGAATAAGTAGGAGCGCTTTAATTTCATGTTCCATTAGACGCCGTCTAAGCGCACAATTACGTCGAGGCACATTTCTCTGCGTTAAGTCTGACAGAAAAATGGAGGGACAGAAATCAAAGATTGGGGGGGGGCAACGACAGATTGTCACAGTGAATCAGTGAGGAGTCAGAAAGAAGGTGGCGGGGCGGGAGACGGGGGAGTCGTCCTCATGAGAGAAACCTCCGTCATGAGGGTCCACAGTGCATGTGAGAGGTGCGTTCTCCATCACGGATGTACCACGGTCTGGTGTGATTGGATGTGATGTCCTGAGGGAAACTCCTATCAACCCTTTACGGCCTTTTTTAAAAACTAATAAGCAAGAAGTGGTACGGATGTATGCTTGTGACGAAGCTGCACTGAAAACAAAATTGTATGTCGATGGTTAAACTCTAAATAGTTTTTCAACAAGGCGGCCTGCAATGTGACAGCGCTGTAAGCTGCACTTCAAGAGAACCTTTAGTTACTCTTTTTATGTCCACGACAGGCGGCACTGGAGTGCCATAAACCTGCATCTTCTGGTTGTATAGAAGTCTATGGGAAAATGACTCTAGTTCTCTCTTGATTTATTACCTCAGTAAACATTGTAAACATGAGTTTATGGTCTCAATCTCTAGTTTCAAGTCTTCTTCAATACAGCATGATGTTCATTTAGTACATTATGGTCCATTTAGAGTCAAACAGACCATAAAGCAGGGGATGCTTTAGGGCGGGGCTACACAGTGATTGACAGGTCTCTGCTGCTACCAGAATCACTCCTCCACAGTCCAAATATGGTCACTTCCGACGGCTGAAATGCCGAACTCGAGACTTCAAAGCGGTTTTGCATACAGGAGAAGTTTCAGTTAGTTGCAATCTGCAATCTCGCCGCTAGATGTCGCCAAATCCTACACACTGGATCTTTAAACTGAAAATGATGGCAGCGAGAAGAAACCCGAACTACAGGCTTCAAAACTGGGGTTGCTGCAGAAACTAGAATAAGGCTTTAGCACATTTCTAATTATTGTAATTATCTCACAGAAACCAATATTAAACCTGTTGTGTTTGTTACATCTTCAGACAGATTTACATCTTACATTTATATTTACATCCTGATGTTTTAAATAGGTGCCTAGGCCATGAACAGAGACCAATGTTTACCAATTTCTGCCTGTTTTAACTTTACTTATCTCCATATTTACACAGAACATCATAATATTTTAAATTGCCATTTAGGCCATGGATTGGAGTTTAAAACTTTAGTTTAAATAGTTTGTTTCGTAGTGTAGTTATTTTGGAGTTTTTTTTATCCAGAAACACTGATTTTCTTGCAGTGTAACTGGTTGAAAACTACACATTTAGTTTCTGTGTTGCCAAAGGGCAGAGCAACGAAAGTCAATGTGTACCAAGTTGTAAAATGGGTGTTTTACAAATTTGGGGAAAGGAAAGTAGAAGGAAAGGACATATTGTACATTTGTACATGTGTTGCCTCACTTGTATCCAACACTGCCAACTACAAAATCAATTAATAACTGAGCAGCGACTGCAGCAGCAGGATATTCTTGTTGTTTGCCCTTGCATGCACGAGTTACTATCTTAACTTGGCAGCTGACACTTTGCCAGAGTGGATGTGCTGAGAGGTGTATTAGAAGTGATAATGAAGAACACACTTCCAGTTGAGAGGGAGGCAATTAAAGCGGGGTGTAAACAGCAGAGGGACGACTGAGTGTGACTTCCCTCCTGAGGGAATCCTCCAGCAACTCTCACACCTGAGAGAGAGAGAGAGAGAGAGAGAGCGAGAGAGAGAGAGCGAGCTTCTCTGATGAGGATTCTGGATGACAGTTAGCGACAGGAGGATGTAACACAGCCGCTCGGTGCAGCGGGATGACAGCCAGGAGACGGGAGCTGCTCTCAGCCGCCTACGTTTAAAGAGCAACTTGAAGGTTGAATTGTTCACTAGATTTATACTTACAGGCTTTCTAGAAAAATACCCATTTGAAAAATGTTGATGCAGGATTTTATGTTTTACAAGCACATGCTGTGTATAAGAAGTGGACGTAGTCTTCGTGACGTCACTCATTGGTTTGTGGACTGATGTTTTGAAGCCTTGAGTTTGGTGATTTTGCTGTAGCCATCTTGGATTACAGCCGTTGCCATGTTGTTTTTTTACGCAAACAATGAAGAGAAGTTACCAACACTTGAAACTAGAGATTGAGACCATAAACTCATGTTTACTGAGGTAATAAATCAAGAGAGAAGTAGAGTCATTTTCTCATAGACTTCTATACAATCTGACTTCTATTTGCAACTGGAGGAGTCGGAGGAAAAACAGGTGTTTTGAGCAACATTTGTATTTTGTGTCACACACGTCATATTACGTAACATAAGGAAGGCATGGGTGGATTGTGGGTCAAAAGGCCCCAACACCTCTCCTACATAGGAGAAAGACACACTGACTTTATAGTTGTTTAGCCCTGTTTGTTATTGTTGTTTGTTGTAGTTGTTTGTTGTAGTTACTTTCTGTGGTTTTGTGCCTCTCTGTGTTCATTCTGTGTCTTTTCGTAGTTGTTTTGTGACACATTGTAGTTGCTTTGCGGCTCTTTGCGGTCGTACTCTGTTATTGAAAAAAAGGTAATCTGAAAAAAGGTCATAGGTCACAAATAGTGATAATGCTACTATTTTATTATTAAAGATTTAAAAACAACAAACTGGCAAGTTAAAGGAACATGGCAAAAAGCATTAGTGGAGAAAATAAATGTAATTTTAAATAACAATAATGGAGTTATTGTGTTAGGGCTTCTTACGCCTTTATTCAGCCGGTCAAACTTATTCAAGCTACAGACAGAAAACGTTGTGAGTAATTATAATATCAAGGAAAGGAGGAACAGACCTACTGAAACATTCAAAGTATTATCATTATTATCATTGTCTGACACACATGGAAGCAGGCAAATCTTGTACAGCTAAATCATATTAAATTATTATTAACTGGCTTATCATTATTAATAGAGGAGACTACGTGGACATTAATAGAAAAGACAGTTTCAATCCATTAAGTTTACATCGTTGTTTTCAGTATGATAACATGGTCATATTAGGGGGTTTTTCATGCTAAACATGTACATTTTAATATTTATTTCACACGTGTGATGATATCAAAAATATTTTGCTAATCAAGACAGAAATAAAGGAAACTTGAAACTCATTTTAGAATGAAGTGTGAGTGAATATTGTATTTTTGCACTAAAAAACGAAAGTATAAAGGTATAAATATTGTTTATTTTTATTTTTGCTGAAGCTTATTGCTTATTGTGTCATTTTTGTAGCTCAAATATTCATGTACAAAGTGCAGAATAATAAAAGTTCACTCTCAATCTAAGAAACGTTTACTCAGAGTCCACACACTAGCTTTTTCCAGCGCTTTCAACTGCATCACATGGTCTTCATCAGCGGAGTCTGCTGTCTGTTGTTTGTTTTTAGTCAGGCAGTCGGTGGGCAACGCTGAGGGGTCCTTTGTTGATGACGTCGCTGGTGATTTGGAAGATGTAGCCGAAAGTTGATGTAATTTACACTGCGTTGTCTTTGAAATTAACGTTAGCATATTTATACAAATGCATAGTACGTACTACAAACCACAAAATGGTACAAACTGCACGTACACCAAATTGAAAGGTGAGTTTGTTGTTTATTATTTTGTTGGTCTTATCAAAAGCGACGTGTTAGCATGTTAGCTTGGAGCTGTAATTAGCCGCTAGCTAACCTAACTGCTATACCAATTCTGTTATTTTAAGATCGACTTGGTTAACGACAGTATTGTTTACCACTTACGGTTTAAGTTAAGTTGTGTGTAGTTCAGTTGGGTTCTGTAGGTATAGTCGGCTCATAGTCATTTACTAAAAAAGCCCGTTATGTCAACAAAAATCCCAACTTTTGAGACTTGTTCTGGCGGTTGTGAACGTTTGCTAGCACGTAAGGCCAAAACAAAATGTCCATGTTACTGAACGGAGTTTGGTGTTATTAGTTTTTCCTCTATCCAATTAGAGACGAACGGTTACAATAATAATAATAATAACAACTTTATTGATATAGCACCTTTAAAAACAGAGTTCACAAAGTGCTTTGACAGACGAAAGCAGCAAAAACAAGACAATAACAACAATAACAGAAAGACCAGTGAGACAGTTTCTTATCTTATTTTTATTTGTTGTTTTTACTAAATTATTTTCACTTCCGTGTGAAAGAAATATAAAAATGTACATGAAAAAAACCCTAATATGATCATACTGAAAACAACAATTATGCATTTAAATAACTCAATCTTGCTGTTTTGTATAATAAGACTTGTAATGTAAGGTGCAGCTGTAGTTGGATCTCATGTGTCTTTTTATTCTCAGCTTCATGTCAGACTAAAGCAGACTCCCACGGCCCAGCCATGCCTCAGAAGCCCCAAAAGAGCGCCCAGACGGCCCACTACATAGAGGTGGGGGGGTATCAGTACTGGCCCGTGCTGGTGCCCCGCGGTATCAGACTGTACACCTACGAACAGATCCCGGTGTTCCTGAGGGAGAACCCCTACATCACAGACGGATACAGAGCCTACCTGCCCTCCAGACTGTGCATCAAAAGGTGAGAACGTTATACATCCTCAAAGGTGTGCAGCGTAACTCCAGAGGTGTGTTGCATGTACGTGCTTCATGCAAATCAGACTTACACCGAAACAGACAAACAGAAAGGTTATGTAATCAAACATTTCAACAACGGAAGAGGTGGATGATTTCTTGTATTGAAATGCAGGAAAACCAGTGACGGAGAGACGCCGTATCAGTTGCAGCAGTTACTTAAAACTAAATTCATTTTAATCCAGAAGCTTGTCGGAGCCAACGGACTGACGTTCAGCATGTTATAAGCTTTTTGCGTGTTCATACAGCATGAAGGTGTTTGAATTTAAATATTATAAGCTGTGAGGTTGAGCTCACTGATCTCAGTCTGTAGTGAAAGACTGAGAATATGTGTTCATTTCATACCGTTCCTCCGTGCAGCCTCTTCGTCCTGTCCAATGAGTCGGTGAATATCTGGAGCCATCTGTTGGGCTTCCTGCTCTTCTTCTTCGTCGGCGTGTACAACATGGCCTTCGTGCTGCCGGCCATCGGCGCCTCCAAAGAGGACTACGTCATCTACTCCATCGGACTCTTCTGCTTCCAGGTACAGGAACACGTTTACTTCAGCCGTGACAGTCGGAGGAAACGTCTGGTTAGGACGTCACGTTACAGTTAGAGATTAAAGCTGGCGTCCATAATGTTTTATTTTATGCTCAATTAATACAAATAGATAAAGATGAATTGCTAAATATACTTCAGGTCTGTTTCACCAAGTTTACCTCGGCAGGGCTTGTTTTAGTGTTGTGTTAACAACAAGGTGTTCTCCTCATGTTGAGCAATGTGCTGATTTAAATCAGCCAAATATCCTGGAACCTGTCGGTGTGACGATCGCTTGGTGTTACCGTAATCTGAGCGCTTACAGAAGGACATCAGCACAAATATTGGCCGTTTTTTTCTCAACAAATGAAAACAACGTAATCAGTCCAGCAGTTGGCTGGACGAGGCTTCACAACCAGAGTCTTCAAGTCCAATTAAAAGATGAATAAGAGAGGCAGAATAATGAATCCTAATATTTTGCTACTTGTTATCTCACGTCCTTTGGCGACTCCCCCCTCGCCGCGTGTGCCCGTCTCCAGCTGTGCATGCTGTGCTCGGTGGGTTATCACCTGTTCTGCTGCCACCGCTCGGAGAAGACCAGCCGCCGCTGGATGGCGCTGGACTACGCCGGGGTTTCCGTCGGCATCCTGGGCTGCTACGTCCCCGGAGTCTTCTACACCTTCTACTGCAACAACGTGAGTTCACCAGCTGTCTCACCCCCCAGAGGAAGGATAGATGTGGAAGTACAAGAAGAGATTCACACTATAGATATACTACAGAATACTCTACACAATAATCAGTTACTACACTCAAATGAAGCATGAAAATAAGAATAAAAGGAGCTAAAATCTTTATACTTCTGACATAAATAGTAACTGCAAAGTGTATTAAAATGAGAAAACAGTAAATATTAAAATTCATTTGATGGAATCTAATCTGACGGCTGATTTAGATTTCACATTCTTGTCTTCTAAACTTTTATTTCACCACTTTGTTGTTTACGTTCATTATGATAATGTTTGGGGGAGGGGCTTAAGAGGGAGTTCTGTCATTGTTGACGACTTGCAGACCGTTTCACTGGATTCAGGGACTTTTGGAGCTTCTAGCTTCTTTCTAAGAGTTGGTAACACTGGGCTGTTATTTTTAGCGTTCTCTTGCTGGTTTCTCAAGTTGGCTTTAAGTAGCGTGCTATCTATGCAGGGAGAAGATACTGACGTTCTTAGTCCCTCATACACTGTCGATGCCACTTATTTAGTTTCTTAAGCTTTCAGACACTTGGTGGACTTCCTCAGTGGATCAAACCCTCTGCTGCTGTCACGTATGAGAAACACTGGACTGTACACAACGGTTTGTGATGCTTGATGCTGCAACACAGAAGTACACAAGTACTGTGATCTGATGCTCATCCCTCTTTGAGAATAATTTAGTTTTATCTGACACTGCAGATTGTAGATAATGTAAATATGCTCGTGTGTGTGGAGCTCCACTGCTTTAACGTCTAACCGCCACGAGAAGCTGTAATTGAAATGTAGCTGAAGTGAAGCTCTGTGATTCTGCTGATTGACTCATTGTTCTGGTGAATAAGCAACACGACACCACAGCCTCTGATGACAGCCGCCCACCACCGTGTTATTTTATTTCCACTCCCGGTTTGCTTCTCTTTTTCCACTTCTCTCTCATGCGTTTCTTTTGGCTGCGCTCCTCACTGTTCGCTTTCCCCACGCATGTTGGAAGCGCCGGGTTATTTTGCCCCCAGAACGCAGCTGAAATCTGCTCCAGCCCAAACCAGATGGCTGCGTTCACGGAGCGGTCCGTCACTCCTGTTCCCCACCATATGACGCTCGCAAGTCTGTGAGCTGTCTCGGCGAAGTGCACCCCCCCACCTCCCCCCCAAACTGTGCGTTCTTGCCAAGACTGGGGCTCCGCTTCTGGGTGGCTCCACTCCTGCAGCAAGCCAAGCCCCCGACAGAAAAAAATGTTTTATTATATATTTATATACTGAGCCAGTCAGACTCTTGAGTGTTTTATAAAATGCAGATTTGGAGACGTGAACACGGTGTCTCGTTAGAAGAGCTGAAGAAGAATCTATTTCTTTTTGGCTGCAGCCGAGCGGGGCCTTGTTCCTGGTGCAAATTTATTCACTGTGAAATTCAGCGAGGACTCGTCACACGAGGACGTGTGACTGGACGGAGGCCTACATCCACACAAACGGACAGAAGGGGACGGAGACGAGGCGGTCCAGACTGTGCACACAGTTCCTAATAGAAGTTTAAGTCACAGCAAGGAAGTATTATTCAAAACCAGGAGACCTGTTGAGTTATTCTCTTAACACATGCGTACATACTTCGTCCCACACATGGAACCGTAGCGATCAGAGAACCTGAGTTCATTTTAATAGCTTCAACAAACAATTAAGTCTTATTTTCAATCAATTACAGATCAGACAATAATAAAGAATTGCACGTTTCAAGAGCCCATGGTGAAGTATTTATATTATTATTTTGTTATCTGAAAGCCCAAAGATATGAAATCAGCGCTGAACAAAAGAATCTGAACTCAAGATGCAAAAGTACAAAAACCTGCAGATTCTTGACCGCACATGAGATGTAACCTGTTGAGCTTCCCGTCCTGCAGTACTGGCGGCAGGTGTACCTGGTGACGGTGCTGGCCATGATCCTGGCCGTGTTCTTCGCTCAGATCCACCCCCACTACCTCAGCAAGCAGTGGAAGCAGCTGCGCTCGCTCATCTTCTGCCTGGTGGCCGGCTACGGCCTCATCCCCACCTTCCACTGGATCTGCATCACCGGAGGCTTCTCCTCGGAGCTCGTCCAGGTGAGTCTCCACAACCGCAGTATTCATTCTGTTACGGAGGTGTACTGTGATGCTGAGCCGTGTGAACCTGTGTTTGCTTTAGAGGAACAAATACGGAAGATTAGTTTCTCTGTGGAGATTAAAATTATGTTTTTCTTTTGACAATATTAATGCAGTTGTTTAATTGCTATTCTTACGTTTTCTTTGGTCTCTAATATTTAGACTCTAATTATAATAAAGAATGTTATTTATACTAACAAATCATTTAGCAGGATTCATTTGTGTTTTGTTATGTAGCTGCTGTTCAGTTTATTCCACAAATCCTTTTTTTAAAAAAAATTTTATTTCCTCCCTTCAGGCTTTTATTCCTCGGGTTCTGGGGATGTACTTCATCGCTGTATTAGCTCTCATCTTCTACGTTTCTAAAGTTCCTGAGCGCTACTTCCCAGGTGAGACCACTTTGTTCAGAGCAACATGTCGGTGTGTGTGTGTGTGTGTGTGTGTGTGTGTGTGTGTGACTCATCTGAGTGTCTTTAAAATGGAATACGTCACACTTCAGCTCAAGTTATTAGATTCAAGTATATAAAAGTTGAATGGACAAATGTTAAAGAACGGTTTAGACGGTACTGTGGGTCAGACGTCTCGTTTCTTCCTCTGTGGTGTCGCTGCAGGTCAGCTGAACTACCTGGGCTCCAGTCACCAGGTGTGGCACCTGCTGCTGGTGCTGATGTTGTACTGGTGGCACCAGTCGTCGTGCTTCATCATGGCGTACCGACACAGCCGGCCCTGCCCCGACGCCCCCCCCCCACCAATAGGACGCCGCTCTGCACGCCGAGGATCCCCGACTCTGTCGTAAGCAGCGCCGTGCGTAGTACCATAAAACTGACTTTATAGTGACGAGATTTGTAAACAAGTTTTTATGGCATACTATATACTAAGACTTCTTTATGACGCGATTCCACAATATTTTTCATCATTTTTAGCGAGATACTATGACTTTTTACTTCATAATATAATTTCACTCTTTTGTTGTTTTTAGTCGTACTGTACTTTGATCTTATTATGCTTTTTTTTTTTTCAACATACTATATTTGACTTTTTCATGACATCAAGTCAAACTATACTATGACTCTTAAGTCTTTTTCAGAGAGAGAGAGAGAGAGAGAGAGAGACTATGACTTTTGTCATGACATAGTATAGTTCGTCGGGAAAAGTATTTCCTCGTTAGTGCAGATTTAAATGAGAGAACTTTGAGTAAAATCTTAACTGACATTAAGCTGATAGAACTTTTTATTTTAATAATATAATCGATCAAATGTAGATTTAATTCAGGAACCATCTGATCAAAGAACAAGTGATCAAAATATGTATTCTGACATTTGACACATTTGAGGTGCGTCAGAGAGCCCTGATGCTGCTCATCTTCTTCTCTCATTGTGTAAACCTTCGTCTTCTTCGTCTTCTTCAGGTTGGTGAATGACGACACATTCGGTCCACCTGACCTGTGAAGGAACAGCCGGGCTGCAAACAGGGAATCGAACCTGTGACGCGTGTGGAGTGTGTTTTTACCAGCTCGTCGCCAACAAACACAAATGCTGCAGTTCAACTACACAATCTACACAAAAAACAAATGGTTAGTTTAGCTGCGTAGCGTTCTCTAAGTGCCTGTTAATTAAACATTATGTAGCACTTGTTAAATTATGTTATGTTTTGCTCCAAGAATGCCCGATATTTCAAATAATCCCTTGTTTTTAAATAATCAAGTAAAATTAAATTCAATGCTTTAATGTCACCGCTGGGTGCAAGTAAATAAAATCTGTTTTAAAGTGTTGAAATTTGACGAGCAATCGACCCAAATTTCTTTCATTTCCAAACTTTAACAAGTTGTCAGTGTTTGAACTTTGAGGTTCTTAATGAGAACAAGCAACAAACGAACCAGTGGTTATTAATTCATGTTTAGATATAAAAACCAAAGAGATATTAAACGTTCTCTTCATTAAGCTTCATTTTGTGCTTTTTTGCGTGAGCAGTATTATTGTTTCTGTACATTGTTTAACAAGTACATACAAGTACATACAAGTACCACCAGAACGTAATGTGTAATGCTGCTCTGTCTGTGTGCAAACTGACATTATATTGTTTCACTGTTGGAAGGTTTTCTTTGAGAAGTGTTTTAAGTCAGTTTATTAAACTGATTTATTTTATTCTTTTATTTTCCAGCTCTGACGAGAGAAAGTTGAGGCTTATTAAAATGTTGTGTGGTCAGTTTGTAGATATTTAAACAAATACTGACGTCTTCAATATGAATCATGTTAACTCATATATATATATATATATATATGTGCAATGGAAAATGTTTGACAGATGTCGTACAGTCAGTTGCCTACATGCATTAAAAGTATTTAAAAAATTGTTAAACATTGTTCTTTTTAGCACTTTGTGTTCTCAAAAAATCGATCGATTTACTCCATGTGGGCAACGTTACTGTAATCACTGTCGACTTGTTAGTTTGAATTGGGACATTTGTGTCCTCGTGCAGCTCTGTTACCTCCTGTTCATTCTCACCTTTAAACTGCTTTTTGTTCCCGTGTGAACAGAGTTTAACTAAACTGTCAGATTCTCATTGTTCAGGCTCGATACTCTCTGTACTGTGTCTCCGGCTCATTTTAGGGTGATGTGCAATGTTCAAGTCAACCGCTTTTTTTAATTTTCTCTTTGAATGACTTCATTCCAAAATGCAACACGTTCACGATGGACAGAAGTCATCGTCACTGAAACGTCTAAATTCTCTCAAATGTTAGTTTGTGTACACAAAACAATAGTTGAATGTTCTGGAATGAAAGTCATTTCTTTTGTTTGTCATATTTAAAGTTTTAGACCGAGACAGATGTTGTTACTGTTGTGTATTTAAGTTATTCTTTGTGGACCTGACGTCTGAGCTCTGAGACGTCGGCCGTGTGTCTGAAGAGGTTTTGTAGCAGCTGGAATTTTTGTATCTTGACTTTTCATACCTGAGCAATCGGTGCTGAACGTGACTCTAAATAATAATAAATAAACCATGTGTGTGAAACTGCTTTGTTTTCAAACCTCTGAGATGAATCTTTGTTTTGTTTTTTATTGCATCAAACAGCAGTAGAGCAGAGAAATACAATATCAGATGTGTGGAAATAAAATGAACAACAAAAGATGTAAAGTAGCATCGCATGGTTCCACTGGTGAAAACAACCTGCAGGTTTAACTCAAACAGTGAAGGTAGATGCAGAGCTTAAGGCCGTCGATGTGGAGAACACACAGAAACTAGTTCATGAATACAAACGCCTGATTACGCTTCACAGATCACTCCGCCGGTCTTTGATTTTAGTTCCCTTTTATAAATACGCCAAATCGCATCCTGCAGCGTTATTGTTAACAAATAACACGAAAAGACCAAAACCAATAACGAACGGATCCTGAGTAACTGAGGACTGATATCTTACTTTGCTTGCTAGTGTATTTGGACCAAATGTAGATTAATCCGCCGCTGAAAACAGTCCCCGACAAATGCACTAGTTCATCAAGTTAAGAGTCACATCTGATAAAAACTACAGTGACCAGCTGTTATAGGAAATTACTTCCTGAACCTATTTTAAAAGAAACTTTATATTTTCGACATGTTTTCAAAGGAATAGTTGTGACGTGTTCACGTGTTTGTTGAAAGTGAGATAAAACTATCGATACCTCACCCTCATCTATCCTTAATAATATGAAGCACCAGGTTAGCTAAGCTTAACATAAAGACAGGAAACTGACGGTAACAAACTCCGCCTACCGACACCTTTTTCTTGGCCGGGCGCAGTAACTTCCTGGGTTAGCCGTTTACCCCTATCTTAATGCTAAGCTAAGCCACAGCCTCTTGACTGTAGGAACCAATGGGCGTGGAGCTGAGAGCCACAGACAGGAAGTCTTAAGCGACGGACTAACACATTGTTGGTTTTGGTCTTTTCCATTTAACTGATCGCACAGGTCCCATTTATTCTTCAGCATAAATTAATTAATGTTATATTTACTGTTAGGAGCGCTAACATTGCGGTAAAGCGTGTGAGTTTTTGAAAAGGGTCGAAGACGAGCGATCTCAATGTGGCTTTGTGTTATTTCTAACAGAATGTGTTGAGTTTTATAACTTAATAAAATAAAGAATTAACAAGTTTACTGCTAGGAAATAAAAGAAAACAGTTAGGAGCCTAAATTTAAACCTCACCCAACTTTTTAAGGAAGTACAATAAAATTCGATCCCTTGTAGAATTGAAAGTGTAAATCACAGCCACGTTTGGCTGCTTCAAAGACTACCGTGAAAATATGCATAGACAAAGGATTAAAAAAAAACAGTGGTTAAGGACAACCCCCGAACGATTCCCCCCGACATGAAAAGGCCGACGTGGGCCAACCGTGTCGTGGTTTTCGAGGTTCTGTGCAGCAAAGGTGGAGCCCAGCTCAGGTAAGGCTTCGTGGTGCTTAAAAAAGAAACAGACATATTGGTAGATCAGAAGGAAAGCCATAAAGAGCTTTTTGCAGCGATTTCCGATCCGGTTCAAACGTCTTTTCAAGCGTTAAGATGCAGCATAAAAAGGCTTTCTCAGCACACAGGTACAGCTGAAAGACACGTGGAAACGTCACTCACACTCCACAGGATTTAGGTTTTTGTTATTCAAAGAGAAGAAGCGTCGGGGTTAAGTTTTGTCGATTGGTTGAAGGTGTTCCCAAGCCCCCAAAAACCAAAAAAAACGAAGAGGTTATTTAACCGCAACTGGCAGAGAGAGGGAAGACTGCAAGGACAAGTCACTGCTTGGTGGGAAAAGGTGCAGCTCCGAACGGGTCGAGGTCCAGCGGCTGCTCTGGCAGCTGCTTCGGCGGCTGCTTCGGCGGCTGCTCCGGCGGCTGCTCCGGCGGCTGCTCCGGCTCAGGTCCGCTGTGGATGACCCTTTCTGTGAAGGGCACCGCCCCGAAATCATCCATGCTGCCGTCTCCGAGAGCACCGCGAAGGGAGCCCGACCAGGAGTTGCCGTTGGCCGTGCCCGAGTCGCTTTTGCTTTCGGTGAGTCCTTGATACTGGCCGTGCCGGCTGCCGTCCGGAGGTTGGAATGGCTTGGCTCCGAACGGGTCTAAAAGGGCCTCGTCCACCGGCAGAGAAGCTCCTTCGTCTTTCCCTTCAGCCATGGTTATATCAACGCTGATGTTCTCCTTCGAGTCCGAGGTGCTGAGGAACTCGTTGCTGCTCTGCGAGTCTCTCCGGCCGACCTTCTTGTGTCTGCGTACTCGCTCCGGTGTGCGGTAAGTCGGCTTGCCGGTCTTGCGCCCGCTGGTCGGCGTGCCGTGGTGGCGTTTGCCGTTGCTGCTGCCGGCCGTGGCCTCCTGCTTGGTTTTCCTCTGGCGCGACGACAGCCTCTGGAGGCTGCGCTGCTTCAGCCTCTGTTGCTGAGGGCTGGCCGACTCCTCGAAGGACGGCTGGAAGATGTCTTCCGCGCTTCTAGAGGTGGCGGGAGGCGGCTCGTCTGGGCCCGGCTGGAAGGGGGAGAAGCCAAAAACGTCGATGCCGTCGGGGGACACGGGCGGCGTTTGGCCCATGGGAACATCGCTGCCGCTCTTGCCCGACTTGGAGAGGTTCCGATTGAATGGCGCTTTGGTAAAAACGTCAAAGTCGTCCGCGGCTCGCTGCTCGTGGCTGACTTGCCTGAAAGGTGCTTTGGCGAAGATGTCCGAGCTTACTGAAGGCCCGACGGGCGAGGTTCCACCGAGGAAGGGAACGGCGCCAAAGACATCCACAGAGTCCTCAGCTAGAGCGGCTCTCACTCCGCTGGGCGACTCCGGAGGGGTGATCAGAGTCATGGCAGAATCCTCCTGAGGACTCCCTCTAGCGGCGGCCGGAGCAGCTTTAGCAGCCGGAGCTTTCCTCGAGCGGTTCTTGACCCTGCTGGGGTCGTAGTCCGAGTCCGAGCTGTGCTTGTCGTCATCGTCCTCCTCCTCAGAGTCCATCAGCAGAGGCCTCTGTCCTATATTCTCCGGCTCGGTATCTTCACCGCGCTCACTGTTCAGCGCTTCATCCTCCTCCGCCTCTTCGTCCTCGCTGCTCTTTGGCGAAGGAGGGTCGGACTCAAAGTCACTGTCGGACTCTTCGCCGGGTCTGCAGTTGCTCTTCCTGCCTGGTTTGTGCTCCTTGGCTGCCGCCGCCGGCACCTGCTCCACCGGCTCGAGACTCTCTGCAGTGGTTGAGACGAGAGCAGGAACGCTGACTTCCTCATTGGTCGGCTCTGTCTTCATCTCATCGGTACCTGAAACAAGACACAAATGCAAGAGTTAAAGATGCGACAGTCTCCTCAATGTGCAAGTTTTAACCCTTCCAGATATTTTGTGAAAGAGTCTTCATTCCAGACCAGATGGCAACCTCCGAGGCTAAAAAGTGTCTTAAAGCTGCATTCTCTCTAGTGTCCACCAGGGGGCGACTCCTCTGGTTGTATAGAAGTCTATGAGAAAATGACTCTACTTCTCATTGTAGATGAGACATTGTCTCATCTAAACATTGTAAACATGAGTTTATGGTCTCAATCTCGAGTTTCAAGTCTTCTTCAATACAGCATGATGTTCATTTAGTACATTATGGTCCATTTAGAGTCACACAGACCATAAAGCAGGGGATGCTTTAGGGTGGGGCTTACTGTGATTGACAGGTCTCTACATCACTCCTCCTCAGTCCAGATATGGTCACTTCCTGTTCACTGGTTGCAAAAAACTAAGACGGCGACGGCCAAAAGGCCGAATTCCAATCTTTAACCGTAGTCCACAAACCAATGGTACAAGTTTTCCTTTCCTAAGAGCGGCTCTGTTGCATTACAGAAATCAGGACAAGTACAAATCCCAACAGTTTGTCCAATATTGAAGCAGAAGGAGCAGCGAAGGAGAAATCCCTGAAACTCAATATGGTCTAAAAGCTGCTCTGACCCTCTGGTGATCAGAGCAGCTTACAGGAGGAAGAAATGAGACGCGGAGCTTTTTCAAGACTCACTAAATTGCTTTCAGATTTAAATCTCTTAGTGAAAAGATTCAAGCTGCCAGTCACGTCCTTTAGACTTTAATAAATAAAGCTTTGTCCTGCAATTACTAATCTTTCTGCATATTTCTATAAATTCTTACGCATAAGTTGGCATTTGCTGGAACAAAAGTGCCTCGTGTAAATTTATTTCCAAGAGATTTGCATAATGACAAGTTAGAGATTAGCCTAATTAGCGCGTGGATAGTCTCCAATTATATTGAAGATAAATGGTGCTCAGACACAATGAGCCAACTCATTGTTCCCTATTAGTGGAAGCTCTATATTAGAAAGCCGAGACAGGACCCCCCGCTGTGCACACGAGGATGGAAACCTCTCCTCATCTTCAGCCGTCCAAACTGGCAGCACGGGATGACAGTGGGCCAAAAAAAAAGCCTTTGTTGTTGATAAAATGAAACAAGGCGGCAATAAAAGACAATACAAAGTAATGACAAAACATATTAACGCAGGAAAGTCTCCGCATCTGTTCGCTCCACTCCCACTGCTCCCAGATCAGAACTTGTCATCACGTTCACTTCAGACGCGTCTTCACGAGAAGACGTCGGACGACACAGATTAGTTTGAGGATTACGCTGCAGACAGAGATCAGCGGTGAACACGTGACTGCTCTCTTGTCCGACAGCAGCAGCTCAGAGTCTCTTCTCTCGCGCGACAAACCCGCACTGAGCCCGGATCGATTTGATGACGCTGCAGAACGTTCACCGACCGACTCCGAGCCCAAAGAAGCGATTACACAACTTCTCTAAATACTTCATATTAAAAAAAAACGAGCTGGAATTAGTTAAGAATCATCAACATCCCTTTTGTCAGTTTCTCTCTTTTGTGTGAAATTACCATAAAATTGTACAATTAAACATGTGAAGATGTTAAAACCTTATTTGAAGATGAAACGTTGACGTCTCTGGGAGCTCATTTCATTTATTATAAACATTTTAAAGATATGATTTGGAAAATCATCATTACTCAGCGACACTGTGGCTGGAATTCACTTTCATGTTTACTGCTGGAAGTGACAGAATAACCTCTGGTGTCACTCACACAGGAGAATCCCGAAGTAACGTTTTGAATTGAGGTCGATTAGTTCTCACTTCGACACAGGAGGAGGATTCGTGTTTATCAAACACTCCATTAAACATAATGACCCGGTGTGACGTCATTGTAATAAAGTTGCTGTTTGTGTAAAGCGTTGAGACGGTTTGTTGTTCTAGACTTTTACAGACTGAATCATTTTGTCTGTTTAGGTTTGAAACACAGGATCAGATGAATTAAAATATCAAAGATTAACTCATGATCAGTCTCCATTTCACTCTGCAGAGCATCAGAACAATCAGCAGTTTGTTAACCATATTATTATTATTATTATTATTATTATGCAAATGGAGGAATTTGCTTCAATCCTTTTTGGAAATATATTCTAAGGCCCAATAATTTATTTTTCTTTGGCAGTAAAGATTTGAGATTTTAAGCAGACATGGCGAACGAGCCTTCTCTCAGGATCATGTTATTAAACGATGAGACAGCAGTAAGTGTAATCTCACTACAGGCAGAAGACAGAGTGACGAGTACAGTTAGAGGAGATTTAGTCCGTCAACACAAAGTCTTGAAACCTGGAACTGGACTCGTTTTAAACAGATTGGGAGAAAGTCAAAGTCAAACGGATGCACGTAAACGGTTGTAAGCGTCGCCTTCCTCCTGATCGATAGTTCTGATTGGACGACAGAGCTCAAACAAAGACAGCCATGTAAACAGGAACATCTTGCACACGGTGTAGTGGTGGAGAGACTCTAAACCTGAAGACCTACTTAAAATAAATAAAAGGATTCAAAGGGGATTTTGAATGTTTTTTTTTATTTATCAGTTACATTCTATAAAGAAATACATTCACACTCACAGTATGATACAGGACCTTTCTTTTCTTTACATAGTCTGCTGCAGAAACAAAGATATGTAGAAGACAACTTATCGATCTATAGCTGAGAGGAGAAGTATAAACTGAAGAGGTGTGGCTCTCTCTCTTCTCCCAAACACTTCTAACAAGGATGCATTCAAATAAAGAACGTAGTGATCTCGGGAGGTTCTAGCAGGATGTAAAGCTGACGAAGGGGAACCAAGCCCCCGGAGACAGAGAGGATAAAAGCACAGACAACTTGCAGATGTAAAAAAGAAAAATATATAAAACAACATGTTCAACGTCTGTTCGCTTGTTCATCCCATAAAATGCGGGGATTAAAAATGATAAAAAAAGAACATTAAAGTGCAGTTAATGGCTCTGGTCGTCCCTCATCCCCACTAGAGATACATCCACCAGTACACATGAACAAGATGTTTCTGAGTATGGCCGTCTTATGACAAATACAAACTAAGGAAATGAAAATTAGAAAATAAAAGTGAACAGAAGCAACGTCCCGATGAAAGCAGGCAGTGATGTGAAACATGACTTACCTTCAGCTAAACACACGAGCTCTATGCAACATGTTGCTCATGATCGGGACTGACGGGAGTCACTTCCACAGACATGCAGCCCTTTAGCATCGTACGCATTTAAACAATAACACAAACGTTCACCATCTTGAAGGATAGCATTCCTCTCAGCACGGCTATTTACACTCCTGAATGTGCTCAACAGAACGGAGGAAACACGGTTCAGAGCACAACGTTGTGTCAGTTGTTGATTCATTTAAAGTCACGTTAAAGATGAACCTCGGACCATTGCTCCACGTCTGTGTGTCTGAGGGACTGATGGAGCTTTTTAAATGGTCCGGTATTGAGGGAGTGTGATGTACGCTGGGATGTAATCGCTCGGTGCTTGTTTTTGCTGCCGAGATTGTTAGAAGTGTCTGACGACATTATAAAGAACCCAACAGAGAGATAAAACCTCTCCGTCTGTTGTTGAGTCGTGTGACTTGCTGCCTGAAGACAAACGGTGGAAACGTGAGTGAGAGTTGGCGAGAGGAGGGTCGGTGTTGCCAGTTTCTTGTGTTGGAGGACAGAAAGCGTCGCTTAGTGTATAAAAAGATTGCTCATGTCGTGGCTGAATGTTGAGATGGTTTTGAGATTGTGGATGTGAGGTCAGATCTCAGAGACTTCTCAGAGCGAACAGACAGACCGGATTAATGTAACGGTAAAGATAAAGGTTTAGTTTCTCTGTGGGGTTGTTGTCAGACACTTATATTCACAATCTGAGTCGGTCAGTGACAAAAACAAACCCTTTAAGAGGACGTACGCTGACTGACGCTGCAGTCTGTTTATCTGAGCTGACAGAAGATACAACGTCAAACATCAGTCGCAAACATCGGCCGGAATACCTTCATTTACTAACAGATGGATTTAAAGTCCAAACTTTGGTAACTGAGGAAAACAGAGCGGCTGCTTTGTCCCTCTGAACATTTGAATTCTTCAGATAAATGTCATCAGAGACAAAAGAAACAAAGAAATAAACTGTCAGCGTCGTCGGTCAGGTGAGTAAAACGGCCTCTTGAAGGCACTTTGTTAGAGATGGAACCAAACGACGTCCACTCAAAAGAAAAGAAACCCTTAATATATGCAGTAAAAGAGGAGTTGAATTAAAAAGGTGCAGTCACACCACCAGCAACAGAACTTCTGTCTGCAGACACCTCACAGGTTCTCTGTGAGGTGGTTCTCATTAGAGGAAAGTCCTCCGGCTCTCGGGTTCAAAATTGCAGCAAAACAAAACCAAAAACAAAACCTTCGGCCGTAGTTTTATTTTGAGTGTTCTTAGAAAACATGTACGGCCGTGGTGCTGGAAAACCTTTGGCACTTTAATGACGCATCAGCCAGTGTGTGTCGCGTTCCGATTGGTTGGTAGCAGTAAAGACACTTGACACGCTGCATCTTTGGTCAAAAATCATCATTTTACATCCAGATGTTTCACCACCTTTCTCTCAAAATTGTCAACTTTTGTCCGGAGGAGTTTGAAATCTCACATTGTGAAGAATTCTTTAGTATTTTAAAGACCAAAGCAGAAATGAGTAACTAATGAAGTAAAACAGCTGATTTCTGCTCGTTGCCGGCGGTGTGTTTGCACAAAACGTATCGTAAAGAATCACCTGCGACCTAAAGAACCCAACAGCTGACACAGAGCGACGGGCGGAACACAGGACGATAAAAGGCCGATCAAAAATGTGAATTCTCTCATTCCGGCCTGTAGAGTCCCTTCAATCGGTTTGGTTGTTATTTATTTTGGTTTTTCCAATTTGAACTCCGTTGATATTCATGAAGTAACGAGTAGAAGACGATCACATATCCCACACCTACATTCAAGTGCTCGGGGGTTATATTGCATCATTGGGATGAATTTACGGTAGAAAAACAAAAGGAAATCTCGACGTGTTTTAGCGTTTATCATGAAATATAGTCCGAGTTACAAACAGTGATTTCTAAACCGATTCACATTGAAGGAGCAGGAAGAGCACAGAGGCACAGAAGCTTATTGCTGCCGCCGACACGATGAACGCAGACACATGGTTATTACGCCTGCGTCTGGTCAGACGGATCCGGTGGTATTAAGAGTTAACGTTAAGAGTTAACGTTAAGCGTTAACGTCGGCCTCCAAAGCAAAGAGCTCCGGCTGCACCACAACATTCGAGGCTTCGTCCCGACGACTAGAAACAAAAACACGTTTATCTCTCTGTGAGGAGTCGCTGCAGTTTTAATGGGCGAAGAGGGTCGAAGATGTTTTAATGTAAACGAACGGCAAAGAGCCGCAACTTTGACAAGTTCAAGTGTCCTTTTTTAACACCCCAACATTGGAGTTTATTAGTACCAGAGCTGAGTGATGTTTGGGCTGAATTAGTATTTAAAAGTGAGGTTTACAGAATGAATAAGACTTTAAATCTACTGAACGAGCATTAAAAGAGAGGGACGTGTTTAACACACGCCCGTCTCTTCCTTATGATCCTTCACTCAATATTAATAAAATGACAGACCAGTTTGTACAACTAGAGCGTCTGCAACAGGTTCAACAACGTCACGTCTACTTTAAGAGGAGCAGAATAAATCAGCTTCCTGCAGCTGCAGCCGATAATAAACATTTTCTTCTGGAATGAAAGCGAAAAACAAAGCAAAGAATCAAACTGCTCGACATCTTTAAGACGCGAGTAAAACAAAAGAGTTAAGAACTAATAAAGAACTTCATTAAAAGAAGTGCAGCTGGACTTTATCAGTATTCACACGGAGCTCCAGTATGTTCTGATGTCAAATACAGTTTCCTTATGATTTATGAAACTTGATCAAATCCATGGTTCTTAGATTAGATGGCCTGTGTGTTAAATGTGTTCAACAAGCAGTAAAGATATCTGGCGATTCATTTTCTACGTCTGATGAAATCGTGTTTATGACTCAAGAAGTGGTGAAGAAATCACGATCGTTTAGTTTGTTGTCGTAATACTCATGTTGGCCACAAGAGGCTGAAGTTCAAATGGTGATGAAAAGCGTTCACGTTTCCTCCGGGTGAGTTGTAACTCCTCCATGAACTCTAAACACAAGGTTCATATCATGCGTGTGAGAAAGTTTGGTCTTTTTGGCTAGAAATGTATTTCATATTGGCACTAATGTGGCCTTTATTATTTTGAATATGAGTAGTTCACTTCAGCCTCTCGTGGTCAGCATTAGTATTACAACAACAAACACTTGTTTTAGCAGATGAAAAAATGATCTTTCCTGATTGAAAGATAAAAACATTGAAGGAACCGAGAAAGAAAACCTTTTTTTTCCACCTGTTCTTAAGTTATAAACCTCTCAGGGTTCCAAAGAGACGGACGTACCCAATAATGAACGTAACCGAGTACGTCTAACATCAGTCAGCCCTCATGAGCACCAGCCATGCGTCTCTTCTCGTGCCGATGGAGCTACAGCAACGTTAAGCAGCGCGCTGCAAGATTTCTACGCACTGAAAAGAAAAAAAATAATCTTACGCATATGTGCTAGTATTAGCATTATTATGTGTATCCTATGTGTTAGTACCTTGTTCAAGCCATTAGATCCAGACAGGGAATGTAACCCCCAACCCTGGCTGAGGTAGTGCCTTGCTCAAAACACTTCTGACCAGCTGACTTGCATAAAAGGTTCGTTAGGAATGATGACCACACAGCCTTAGTTTTAGAAGGCAAGAGATGATTGCAGTGCAGTTACCACCAGCGTAGTGTCAGAGGAGCCTCTAACTCACCGTCTCCTGTTTCATACTGACAGCAGGAGAACTGATCCGACTCATCGTTGGGGAAAACAACAAATATCTGACTTATCATTGGTTTTTAAGGCTCCAAGAGCTGGACAGGAGGGGGTGAGGGGGGGCAGGTGTCTCCACAGTGTTGGGTCCTCTCTGCAGAGACTCCTCTAAGACTTGCCTGTGCTAGACACAAAGGGGACGGAGCCGAACAGGTCCTCCGGTAGCGGGGGTCTGGCGGCGGAGGCAGCCGGCTGCGGTTGGTCCGGTTCCATGCTGGCTGTTCTCTCCACGGGTTTCTCTGTGTGGAGGAGGTACAGAGGGTTGAGAGCAAGAACACGACCATCAACTGCTTTTGGCTTCAGAAAGTTAAAGCAAAATGAACAATCATGAGACACAAAATCTCTGTCTGTCTTTAAGAAAATGAGCAAAAATGTCACTGAATTTGTAAGAATCTTTGTTCGAGATCTAAATAACAGCCGGGGTCACTTGCTTGCTCTCAGCATGTCAAACTCCCGGTCGATCAGCTCCTCCTCGGTCAGCTTGGAGAAGTTGTCCTCTACGAAAGGGTTCCAGCGAGACATGTCGGGGGGGTAACTGAGCGCGCTCTGAGAGGGCGGCGTGACGCCACCGGACGAGAGCAGAGAGTTCCTCCTGTGGAGACAGGAGAGCAGAGACGACCGGTTACAGATGCTTCACACGTTACCGTTACAATGATGACGGAGCAGTGAGGCTGTTGGTAACTAAAAACTGTTCAATTGCAGCTTTGGGGCCTTTGCTGCGTGTTTCTATACTGACCTCTGTCAAATAAAAGCAAAATGTTCTTCCACATATAGTGAGACGTACATGTCCCACTATATGCTGAGTTCAGGGGACTTCACCTGGGGTTACTGTATGAGGGATCCACAGGCGACGGTCCGCCCATCTGCCCAGCTCCAGCTCTGGGAGTGGTGGCGTTGTAGGAACTCAGTGGGATCTGGAACTCAAGAGGGGAGGACATGTAGGGGAGAGGCTGCTGAGCGGGATGATACTGCTGTTGATGATGCTGTTGATGATGATGGTGCTGCTGTTGATGATGTTGCTGAGGGTGTTGATGATGATGCTGCTGCTGCTGCTGCTGCTGCTGCTGGATAAAAGCCTGTTGGTACTGGTGCAGCTGTTAGGGAAGGAAGAGAGGGAGAAGAGGGGGGAAGGGAATGAGGGACGGACCTTTTGATTTCATGGTGCACAATGACGGCAACGAGATGATGGAATGTTGTTAGAAAAACCAGTTCTGGAGATCGGTAAAAGCTGGGGACACGGTGGAGAGGGAGGGGTGGAGGAGTGAGAGTCAAACAGTGTGAGCAAGTGAACTCAGGATCTCCTCAAACACTGGCTGAACGTTCTTTAAAGCTGCATAGCAAACATTCATTCTGTTTATTTTAACCATACGTGTACGTTGATTTCTTGACTTTTTCTTTAGGGCAGAAAATCTCCCAAACAAGCCGACAAATAAAAAGCATTAACATTATCAGCTAGTCGCATCATCATAAAGCAGAGCGAGACTTGATTTTATTTAGTCAATCTCTCCATCGTCTCCGATATTCACTCCTTTGAGCTTTGCTTTGGTCTCCACCAGCTCCTCAGAAAGTATCACTATTAAGCTGCTAAATGTTCCACTTTCTCCACCAGATAAACATTTTTCCTCCTGATGGATCTGACTTCTTCCAAATTCTCTCTGAAGCCATCGGCTCAGTCTGACGTCGACAAGGCTCAGGGGACACGGAGCAACATTTCTGGGGCGCTGCTGGTTGTTTACAGTCCGATTGGCCTCTTGAGATACGAGACTGACGACCGGATTGTTTCCTCGAGTAGCCAGTTAACGAGCTCATTTTAAAGCGATAAAAAGCTAAATCATCGGCAGCCGATAGACGCTTTGTTCCCACATTGTGTTAAAACCAAAGCGTTTCGCCTCTTTTGCTCTCCACAGATTAGACGTCTTTAGACGAGAACACATGTTAAAGAAATCTTTATCCTCAAATATCTGAAGTGACAATAACCCATTTGAACTAACTCCTACAACTCAAAGAAGCTTTTTAATATGGTTCACGTGTGTACCAACGTTCTTTAAATCTTGTTTCTGAATTGCTGCTCCATCCTCCACCTCCTTTTTTTCCTCCATGTTTTCTTAACAAACCATAAGTGTAAAGCACTTCTGCACCGCTGCGCTTTTTAAAGTGCTGCACAAATTAAAGTTGATCTTGTTGTCAACACAGCGTGTTACATATTTGCAGCCACTTAGCAAAGCTCCCTCTTCACAACGAGGACCGGTCTGAGATCGCGGAGGAAACGCTGCTTTTGAACACTGCGCAGGTATCTTGGGAATAAGAAGAGTACTTTTGCTGAGCGGCGCTCTCTTCCCCTGCACGTGAACCGCTTCATATGTCAGGATGCAACGCGGAGGGAAGCTGCTCGCTTTCACCCTCTGTTCGATCCCCTCACGGATGCTTCGCTCTGACCAGATTGCCTCTGAAATAAAACAGATGGTGGGAAACGGACTAAAAATTGCGCCGCCCTAGCAGAGCGCGTTTGGAGGACCTGTGTTTGTGTGTTTGATTCAGTATCTGCGTAAATACGAGTTCTCTGAATATTTGGACGGAGTCAGTAGGAAGTTGTTTTTGAGCGTCTGCTTCCAATGCTGCTTGGCACAGACTGAGAAGTGACTCGACTGCCAGTGTTTGGAACAGAGAGAGAGAGAGAGAGAGAGAGCAATTTTTAGGGCTGTTCTGACATTAAATGAAATACTCAGCTCCGTGTTACTTCACGCTGTGTCTCCATGTGTTTCGCTGTCATTTGCTCAAACTATTTATTGCCGTTTTGGACTGAAATCCTCTGCTCTGAAATTCCGTCATGATTCTTTTAGAGTTGGAAGCATCCTTCGAGTGTGCTTTAAACACAAACAAAAGTAACTTTGATTTGATGGATCAGACATCTGACAGAACTCACCATGGCTGCGTACTGAGCCTGGGCCTGAGCTTGAGCCTGGGCGACCTGCTGCTGGTACAACGGCTGCATCATCAGCTGCTGCTGCTGCTGGAGATAAGCGTGCTGATGCTGCTGCTGGAGGAGAGCTTGATGCTGCTGCTGCTGCTGCTGCTGCTGCTGCTGCTGCTGCTGAAGCTGGAGGGACTGCTGCACAGCCTGTTGGTACTGAGGAAGGTAGTAACGGTGATTAAACACATTCAGGCCCAATCCCAATGCCCCCTCTAAATCACGGCCCACGTGTCGAGCTCGAGGGCTCCGCCAAGTGGTCGCGCCGCTTGTTCGTGCTCCTCTGAATCTTTGTAACTTGGCGCGCACAATCAGAGCTTTTCAGACGTGACTGTCACAAACAGTTCACTGAAAAAAATCACTGTTTAAATGTCTATTTTATTTTAGTCAAAACGACAGCCTGGCCATAAGGGGCAGCAACAGGAGGCAAGCCGATACTTTTGAATAGTACGCTTAAAGTTACATAACAGATTTATATTATTGGTTTTAATTCATCTTGTTAAGTAAATAAATATTATATATATTTTAAGGATCAGTTTCTGTGATTATTTTGTGCATATGTGTTGTAATAATAGCTGAACGTAATGTCCAGTGCTCGGATTCAAACCTTCACTGTTCACTCTGAATGTGGAATATTATTTTAAATAATGATATTTTGAGTGAACACCAATGTTGAGACTTTATCTACAGTTCAGTTGTTGGTCCATGATCCCCGGGTGGAGCCCCGTTATCTATTAATATATGTTAATAATCCCATTGATATTAATACTTGTATTGATATCAATGATTTAGTTTTCATACTTGCTAATAAGCAAAGACGCTGACGTCAGTGTGTTGAAAGTACCTGGAGGTATTGAAGTTGCTGCGCGTTTGCATGATGTTGCTGCAGTGCTTGTTGTTGTTGGTGTTGGTGGTGATGTTGTTGCTGCTGCTGCTGCTGCTGCTGTTGCTGCTGTTGTAGCTGCTGGAGACGCAGGTCACCAGGCTGTAGCTGCTGCAGGACTCGGTGCTGCTGACTGCCGGGCTGCGGCTGCATGGATGGAGGCTCAGAGCCGGGGGTGGGAGCTGAGTGGACGGGCAGAGGAGAGAGGGACACGAGGCGGTGATGACAAAAAGCATATTTTCTGATCGTTTCAAGGCGGTTACATTCTAAAAGACAAACAATCAGAGAACTCAATAAATGCCTTAATGTGGAGACAGACTCCTCTGCGGTTCAGTCATTACATCCAGCGAGCATCAGTAAATACTATGCAGCAGTAAACGTCGTCGTAGTGACACAAAACCAAGGATTTTCCTTTTCCACCATGTTTTTTTAGATGAAAACAGGCTGCAGAGTGTTTACCCTGCGACCAGCAGCAGCTCCACGTCTCTAGAACAACAGTCGGCTGAAGGAAACTTTTAATTCCTTGAAAAGTAGTCCCGGGACTAAATTTACCAAGAACTTCTTTTTGGAACTTATGTGAAATTGTTCAATTTGATGGTCTATTTTCTTCTCAATTCTTTGATATAGAGATAAAAACATACCCTTAAGATAATAGACACTTCTGTAGATATTAAATACCAACATCGTTCATGTTAAACGAACCTTTCTGGCCGTTGCTGACGGGTGCTGAAGGCACGCTCATCTTGACGGGGGTGACGGTGTTGGCGAGTGGCAGCACGTTACTGTTGGCTGCTTTGGGCCTCTGTCTGGGAGCGATGGAGGTTTCTGTCGGGCCGACGTCGTCCGTTATCCTGCAGAGAAGGAGCCGCACGTTGGTGTTATGCTAATACATCGTGAGCCTCCACATGTGCTGCATGTACAGCAGGGTTTGTAGTGAGTAACATCCAAATGTCTAATGTCATTTATTTATCTTGATCATTTTCATTAAACTGAAAAAGATACAAATGATTCTTTAAACATTAACACATTAGCACATTAATTATCTATTTTATTATTCTATTGTATCTATCAGTACCAGTGACAGTTTGAATATAATATAATAAAAACAATCATGACCTGGCTTTCGTTATGCTTTTCCGAGCAGCGACCTCACTCGCAGTCAGAGGCTCTGGAAGCGACGTAGGGATGGGAGAGTTCTGGAAAACAAGAATTATTATGAATTATGTCGATATGCAAATGACTGCAAAAGCTGAACCCACGCTGATCGCTTCATTCTGGTGACTTACAAAGAGATTTGGCACTGGACAGTCTTTTCCAGCTAATATGAAGGCAAAGTAGGACACTTGGTAAATGTCGGGTCTCTTCTCCAGCTCCGGTTCGAGCATATATCCTGGAACAAGACAAGAGGGGTCATTTTAGTCACTGGCTGGTTTACTGTGGCTGAGGTGCATCTCCTCTCTTTGGCCACTGGGCGGAGCTGTTGGTCAGATAATCACACATAAAAAGGGGAAGCTGCAGGCTGCCAGGATGCATTTAGGGAAGTGAGGCTGGAGTAACCGGTTCAAACAGGCTGAAGTTGTGTAAAGAACACTAGACGTGTTGGTCTGTGGGTGAACACAGACAGAGGAACTCGTTAACACTCGTTAAGAGTCGTTTAATAAACACAGAACAACAAAAAACAGATTATGGGAGAGAATTACAATCTAGCTAATGACAATTATATAAAATTAAAAACATGAACTATGTTTCATGTGTTTATATATGTATGTGTTGTTTGTATGTTTTTGATTATTTATGTGTATATGTGACAGAAGTTAAGTTCTAAAGAGCTCGAGAGAGGCAGGAACATACAAGTGTTTACTTCTGCCTTCTGTTTTTTAGACATTTATTTATTTAGTACATTAACTGTTTATTTCATTACTTATTCTTATTCTGTTTTCTAATCATTTGTTACATGTTTTAAATTAATCCAAATCTAAAATGCGTTTGTACAAATACATGACTCGAGAGTCAAACTCCATCAAGAGGAGAAAGTCTTTTAGCCTTTTCTACAGCTCTCCTTCAGAACCGAACAAAATAAAAGTACTAATACACACTTCTAGAGAAGTGTGTATTAGTACTTCTAGAGAATTGTGTATAACTCCCAAACACGGTTTAAAACAGGAGAAATAAAAGTGTTTCAGTAAGTAGTGATATGAAGTGATTCTGAGGTATTAGACTAAACATTCAGACGTCATGGATCCGCGTGAGGTCTCAGACTTACTGATTAAACAGTGCAGCTTGAAGGAGAACTTGGAGTTATCTGGAACGATAAAGGTTCCGTCACATATGGCCACTTGACTCTCCCCGAACGGAAGTGCGAAGAAACACAGCTTGTACAACAAGCATCCCAGTGCCTGTGGAGGAACAGAGGAACAGTCTTTAAGAACACCTGAACGCTCATTTAATGTCAGTACCAACCGGATACCAAGCGTACTCTACTCCACCTACACTTTGTTTATTTACACTATTTCTCTCAGCATTAAAAATCATTTCTATTCTGAAGAGAAAAAAAGTCAAACTTCAAAGAATTCACAAAAACAACATACACACACACAGTTATGGTTAAGAAAGTGTCTCTTCACGTCCCTACTCCCTTATCATTTATACTTATATCAACACAATATCAATATTTTATTTTTTAAATATATAATACTGGTTTATCGTGCTCAGCTCAGTGTTTTGGGAATTATTATTATTGGGTTTAGTTACTCTGCCCATCCAACAGCTGAAAGGATTTACACAGAAACAGAAAAACTACACACAACTTGTAGAGTTTTAAACTTGGTGTTTTAAGGGTTAGTTTGGATTCATCAACGTCACACGATAACACAAACTAAGCGACGGAGGCAGAGGCAGAGCAGCAGCTCATGTGCTCTGTGAGTTAAAATGACTGTTTAGTGAATGGAGTCTGGAGTCTTTAAAGAGAGAATATAGATCACAGCTTCAGCTTCCCATCATAAAGGTCTGACTGACAGCAAGGTAAAGAAAACATAAGAAATATAGCGTTCACTTTGTCTAAAATACGTCCACAGCAGAACATGACTTTACTCTGTTACTGGTGCTCCTGTACTCTGACTATGAAGTACCACCTCACACACACACACACACACACTTCTTAACAGTCCAAACTATCCCTTTAAACATGTAAAGTGCAGTCCCTCCCAGTGGGGGAGTGAAGCCCTAACCCTGTTGTTGTCTTCCTCCCCCACTGAGCTACAGGACTGCTGATCACAGAAGTAATGTTCCTCATGTCGGTGGCTGAAGAACAGACCCAGAGTCTGCTACCCTGGCAATATGGCTGTCCAAACAAATCCACACGCTAAAGTGCTCTGCTCCCAAATCATATATTTAGTCTGGCTATATTTGGCTCCGGCATCTTGTCGTTGATGATGCAGTTTAGAGATGAAAGAGACTTTGGAATTAGCCGCAGTGTTCAGGGGATGGTTGTTGTTTCTCCATCTGCAGACGGACAGCTAATCCAGTCTGATACTAAACTCCTAATCTGAGTCAGACAGCGTATCCCTCTGACAGACTCCCAGAATGCATGGATTATTGCACATGAGAGAGGATGTATAAGACGGTAGCGTTATTACAAACACATGGCTAAACATAGAACAGGAAGTGAGAACGCAGGGGGTAGTCCGCAGGAAGGTGGTGTTGTTCTTCTACGTCCCACAGAAGCTCCTACAACCAGAGGCCGGATTAAAGCTTCCGACTATTCAGGCCATACACACACATATACATACACATATATACACATATATACATATACACATACACACACACACATACACATATATATATACATACACACATATACACATACATATACACATACATATACATATACACATACACATACACATACACACACATACACACACACATACACATACACACACATACACATACATATATACACACATATACACATACATACACATACACACACATACACATACACATACACACACATACATACAGTGTTGAGAATGTCTGGTTTAATCCAATGCAAATCTGAGAGACGGGCAAAGTAAGACGGGAAAAAGTGGTCAGACTTCTGCACAGCGGCACCACGAAATCTAATAAAAGAGTAAATATCCGTCAGCTGACTAAAAGATTCATCAACTGTTCATTATATGGACTTAGTCGCTGAATGGTAGCATACATTGTTTTGCTATTATTTACTCGTAGTACTAGAAATCAAGCTTCTTGTTTTTTTACAAAGAGTTGATGTTTCAGATAAATCCAGATCCTGTTTTGATCATTTTAGAATTGCACATCGTCTCCTGTCTAATGGCAGTTTTACGCCAAAAAGAAAGGTCTAAGCAAAGTGCACACGCTTATGTGCACAAAGCGTCCCATTAAGAGCCACATATTCACATGCTGGCTGTTTTATCTCCCTGTGTGCATCGATTCACACCGCTCCCCAAAATGGCTGCCGTCCAAGCCCTTGATGCTGCTGCTTCTCTACCTCGCTACCTTCAAAAATAACAGCGAAGGTCTATTTCACACGAGGTCCTCAACTGTGTCGTCTCAAATGATCTCAAACGAGGGGAAGTAGAAGAGGACAGGCAGCGAGGCGAGAGGAAGGGAAGAGGACGAGTGTTGAGAATGATGTCGCTCAATGTTTTATGAGAGAAAAACACTGTTGGAGAGCTGGTGGAGGCAAACAGCCCGGAGCGAGCTGGGAGGGAGAGGGGGAGGGAGGGAGGGAGAGCGAGCGAGAGAGAGAGAGAGACACAGACAGACAGCGAGAATGAACCTGTTGGGGCAGTGACAGCCAGGACAAACCAGTCCTGCAGGGTGCATAACACAAACGCGCACACACACACACACACACACACACACACACACACACACACACACAC